CTAAAACATTGTATTTTTGTGTTGAACAAATCACACTTACGGCATCGTGCCTGCCTCTTGTAAATAATCCATGTAATAATTTACTATATCTAACAAATTTAGGGTCGTCTGCGTGGTCATCTATAACGATTAATATTGAATGTAGTTTCTTTTTCTTTTTTAGACTTCATATAATTAATAATTTTCTTCTGTCTTTCAATTACATTTTCTAAATCACTTGGATTAGAATTATCAAAGTAAATTTGCTATTTTTCATCATCCACGTGCAATTCATCCCTGATGTATTTTTTAACTTCTGTAAATGTAGGGTCGTTATGGACACTGGGGGAAAATATAAATATTCTTGCAAATGAATTTCTATAAACATTCAATATCAAATTTTGAAAAAGGACAGTCTTACCGCCTGTCGAAGAAGCAACTATAATACTTCTAAATGGTAATTTTGGCACGTGCTCATATTTAGATTGTTTGAATTCATATTCAGTTATGTTTATTGGCTTTATTATTGGAACATCTGTCGTAGTTGATATTAAAGATATATAGAAAATTATATTTAAAAATTAACTTGTAATTCATATTAAATGGAACAGGCTTTCCATTGCTTCAATCAATGAGCATTGAAGATAATTAGTTTGTGTCTCTCTTGCGTGTTGCAGTGAAAACCCCAGTGCTGAGCCCCGAATATTCTGTCATGCATGAAAAAAGTAAGATCAAATAATTATTTTAATAATTATTTCATCTTATTATTTAATATGAAAAGGAGTTATAGAGATTATATTAGTATAGTAGATGAAGTAGAGAATATAGAACACGTAATAACAACTGACAATAAAATTAAGAAATGCTTTTTTGTTCATTAGAAATAATTAAGCTAGGAATACAATATATCAAAAATAAAAAATGTAAATATTAATATAAATGCCAAAAAAGAAAAACAAAAAGAATAAGACAGGTTTTAGTGTTTCTTCAACAGATGAAGATAGCGGAGAAATTGTTAAAGACACAGCAGTAATTGAGGTTGCTTGTCCTATGTGCAAAAAGATGTTAGAACTTAAAAATGAATTAGAAATGCAAAAGAAAGGAAATTGTAAATGTTCATGTATTCCAACAAGTTTCAATATTAGTAAAAATGATAAGAAAATGAATATTGATAAAACTAAAGACAGTATCAACTTAGAAACTGATGTCCACAATATAACTTTTAAATTTGGTAGGCAAGCAACACCATCCGATAATAATGAAAACGAAACGCAGGACACTGTTAAACAAGTGATGAAAAATTAGTATTTAAAGAGTAGATTTAACATAATTGCACTTTATAAATATATAATTAAATAAATAATTATCTAAATAAATATAGTACTGTCTGAAAATGAAAAAATACTATTAACGATTTAATGAAGAAGATAACATTAATTAGCAAAAATATTGAAACCTTAAATGATATGATTAAATCCATTGATGAAAATCTTAAACCAGTTGAACGCGAACAACAAAGCGCTGAAGAGAAGGAAAAATAGATAATTTTTTTCAAACAAAATCTATAGGAAGACCATCGGGCGACTACCCTACAAAGCAAAAGAAATACTGTGAAATGTTGAATACAGGAAAAATCAAACAACCAAAACAACAAACATTAGAGTTTTATAAAATTTCAACACATGATGGTGGAGTATATGTATTATTTGAATAATTAAATCTAAGTGATTCTAATAATAAGAATTTATTAGAATTATTTAGCAAGAAGACCTATATAGAATACCTAGCGAATTAATTTGTGAAATCTTAGTGAGTTTGACGGATTAAGGATTTTGAGTTTGTGATTGGGCTTGCAACTTGAGCACATGCAATTGCAATTAACCAAACCACCACCTATTTTGACAGAAACCGGGGAATGATTTTGATAAAACCGGGGAATGATTTTGATAAACTCGGGGAATGATTTTGATAAAATCGGGGAATGATTTTGATAAAATCGGGGAATGATTTTGATAAAACCGGGGAATGATTTTGATAAAATCGAGGAATGATTTTGATAAAATCGGGGAATGATTTTGACTAAAACCATACTATGATTATAACATGTATACCCTTATATGTTATAATTTTAATGTAAGTACAGCGTTTCATATATTGAAGATAAAATCCTACAAGGCGGACCACGCCTATTAAAATATATGATGAAGCTGATGAAACGAAGGAGGGAAATGAATATTTTCTGCCCTAACATATGTAAAGAAAAAAGGGCATTATACGGCAATGGAAAGCGAACTGAAAAGATGCCCGAGATGTAGGAAAATGTGATAATAAGTGAATTCAAAGAGGGTAAAATATCATGCGACAAATGTTTAGCTCAAAAACGAGAGGCAAGCAAAAAAGAAGCAGAATGCGAAGTGTGTAAATGCATGGTAAAAAGTGCGAGGAAAGCAAAACACGAAGAAACGCTGAAGCACTTACGAAATCTTAAGGCACGAGAGGAAGAATTACACCCTGTAAAAACGATTGAGTGTGCCATATGTAAAAAACATTAGAGAAGACTCATATAAAAGTCATCTAAAATCATTTATGCATAGACAAATGAAAAAACTGATGTAGAAAAATTGTGTTGGTATGTTCTTTTGATTTTTGGGAGATGAAAAGAACATATTGCGGTGCCTGCTTTGATGTAGTAGAAGAATAAGTTCTGCCCGATGGGGGTGAAGTTGTTTGTGCATTGAAAACATGAAAAAAGTTGTAGGGTGGGGGGCGGATTTATGAAAGCAATTATTGCTAGGCGTGGCCCTCCACTACTAAAACATCCTAAGGGCAGGTTCTGAGGGTCACCCTGTTATTTCCCCTTGTTTAAGGTCTCAAACCTTTTGGGGAGATTGTGTTTTGAGTGCAGCCGACATGTACATGCGAATGCATTTGGCTCAAAACCTTGATAATAGAATCGAGGCAAACATCCAAACACAGCTGTGAAGCAAAGCAAAAGGGTTCGTATTCCTCGGTCGCACCGAGTCGTGAGACAACGCAGATCATTTACCTTACAACCCCCTTTTACCACGACCACTACTATACGACTTGCTGTCGAGGGTATTGGTCACCCCACGGGAGTCGAACCTCAACTACCCTGTCATTTGACTGCGTGATTGATCCGCCTCCTGGCAGCTGTCAAAGCCTTTGTCGTGGTGTCTCCTTGGGTTGTCATCCAGTACAATCTGGAATCCTTGTTCTATCAGTCTTGTCACTGATAGAATCGGTTGTTTGATGTCACACACGTAGAACGGTATGACAATGTGTTGTCCGTTGATGTTGTTCATACAAACCCATTTGTATCCGTGTAACTTGATTGGCTGGTTTGTCACTGTTCTCAGTGTGGTCCATTTTCCGGTGTCAGTGAGATCGATGTATCTGTGGCTTGTGCCTTCTTGTTGTTGCACTGTTGCTGTAGCAGTTACTACCTCTGCAAGTCCTGAGACTACCAAACGCATCTGTTCATTGCCTTGCTGTATTGCTAGTTGTGGCTGATGAGGTCGTACTTGTGTCTGATCCATGTTGTGCCAGTTTCCATCGTAGTTGCTGTTCTGGTACCAGTTGTCAGTGACGTCGTTGTTCTCCATGTTGCCGCTGTCGTAGTTGTAGATGGCCACTCTGCGCTGCTTGGCCATGTGTCCAGATTGTCCGCATCTGTAGCACACATTTGTGGCTTGCTTTCCTTTTGTTCCTTTGCCTCCTTTGTAGTTGTTGTTGTATCCTTTACCTTTGTGGTATCCTTTTCCTTTTCCTTTGTTGTTGTTGTATCCTCCTTTGAACGGATTTCCTTGTCCTATCGGCTGGTTGTATCGGTTGTCTCCTTTGCCTCCTTTGTAGTTGTTGTAGTTGCCGTAGCCGCCGTAGCCTTTTGCTCTATTGTACTTTCCTTTGCCTTTACCTTTTCCTTTCTTGCCTTTTCCTTTGTTGTGCCATGTTGCTCCTATGTCCATTGGTGCTGGGCCTTGGGTGTCACTACTTGTAGCCGCTTGTAGTTTGGCGAATTGTGATGCTGCTCTGTGGTATTTTATCACCAGTGATCTGATTTGTGCATAGGTCGTAATGTTGCCTGCCTGTAGTTGTAGGTGTTGTTGTAGTGGGCCTTTTGTCTCGTTTAGTAGGATTGCAATCTTCACTGCATCCGGTAGTAGTGTTCTGTTGTCTTGTTCGTACTTGGCGAGTTGAAACTCCCATGTTGTAAAGCTCTCCTCAAACTTGTTCTCGTCGATCTGTGGTTTGAGCAGCTTTATAAGGTAGCCGATGCTTCTTGTACCAAGTGGTAGTGAGTAGCGTAGGTGTAGTTGTCTCCATGTCTCGAAGCCGTTGCCTTGTAGGTTCTGTCTACAGATTGTCGATGATGCTCCATCGCAGGTGTTGACGAGGAGGAAGTGTAGGTCTCCGCTGAGTTGTAGCCATAGGTCTGCTGTTTCCTGATCTGGCGCGGCTTGTTCCAGTTGGTCGTTTGTGATTGCTTGTGGTGATTGTTCTGACTGTCTCAGCAGTCTGTGGTATGATGACTCTTGCAAACCGAGGTATGCTGTCATCTTGTACTTCCACTCTTCAAATGTGGAGTACTCACCGTTGAACCTTGGTGGTGATATTCTGTACCTGTGGACTCCTGACAGTTGTTGTTGTAGTTGTGCTTGCTGTGCATTTCCTTGTGCCGCCATTGTCACTTACTGTGCTACTGTGTACTTGGTTGTGTGGATCTTTCCCAGGTGTGGTGTTGCTGTAGTCAGTTGTGCTCCGCTACCATGTTGAATTCAATGCTATTGTTGTATACCTGATTGCCTAATGTGAATACCTGTGTGTGAATCAGCGCGGCTGTGGTCACTTGTTTTATCCGTGCACACATGTATAGATGGATGGATGGATGGCTCAAGGCCTCGAGATGTAAAAAGGGCCGGCAGTGTTAGATGTAGGGTGAACCTGTACAGTGACTTGCATCTTAATTGTTTTTTCTGGTTTCAGATCCTAGAGCTCTGCAGGTTGGGATCGCCGACCTGGTGCAGGACCCCACGTTTGGTTCTCAGTTTGCTGTTCGGAGACTTTGAGATCCTGACTTATTTTCACGAAGCGCATTGACCGTATTCCAGGTTGTCGGTTACTGTTCTTGCCAAACGGCTTGGTGTGATGACAAACGCAGCCGCAAGCCGCATCTCAGTTCTGGAAGGCCGCGGCTGTGGCCAGACAGTTGTGCAGAGATGGCACATAGCCCTGGTACAATTTGCTTTCAAAACTGTATGGAAACGGCTGAGTGTCAGTGTGAGACAACAGAGGCCCTTGCAAACCGATATATAAGGGGGAAGCTCGGTTCCGCTGGCCAAGTTGCGGGTTACATTAGTTACGTTAAAATGAATGCATTATTGTACCCACCACCAATTCTGCAAGGATTGCCTAGTATAGATCCTTGAGGTCGGCGCCGCTTCCGCCTGGACGCCATTCACGAGTGGCCAACAAGTCCACTGGCAATGATGAACTGATGGTCCCTGGCGACGACCAGATGCTGCCGTCTTACTTGGTCCTGTTCTGAGAGCGGTGATCAGAAGCCACTGGGCGCAAAGGCACTCTCTGCAAAACTTGCAAGAGCGCCTGTGCTTGTGGCACCCGCCAGGCAGTGCTCCTAAACGTCCCAGCGCGGAGACTTCAAAGCATTGTTTCAACGAATTGCCTTTCTAGAGCACTGCTGAGCGTCCAGCGGTGTCATTTTTGATCATTGTATTGACTTTGGCAGGACTTGCGCAGGACCAAAGTCAAAATGAGCAAAAGCAATATCATGAGGGCTCAAACAAGGCTTGTCTTGACGCTGCTAAACTCGCAGACTCGAAATGCCCTTTTGCTCCAACTCCAGTGGCATTGTCAAATTCAGCCATGGACATGGTCAACTTGCAGCTATCAAATGCTATTGGTGCATATGGAACGGTTTCTGATTTATGTAGGATGTTTCTGTTTGGTACGTATAAGCGTCACCGACACGGTTCACGCCAGCGTAAACAGTTGCAACCATTTGCGGGGCGGGTGCTTCTTATAATATGCTGGGTGGTTTTCTCTTGATGCCCGAACTTTATATTTTGCAGGTAGGAAACCCCCTAGAACGAAAGGTACCTTCTGTACTTCTGAAGGGAGGGTTCCCTTGATCAACTTTCTTGGTTCTCAGGAGACAGAGACATAACATCTGATTGAGTCGACATCATTGTTCAGTGCCATTCAATGTACACACCTGGATCGCACAACGGGGTGTGATAACTTCAAATGAAGATGTCCTAGACAAGACAAGTGCTTTTGACGCTGACTGAACATGCAAAACTGGTCCTGCGCTCACCCCATTGATATTTGCTGTCACAAATTGTTGTCATGGAGCCCGTTTGAGCAGTGAAGTTGGGGAATTTGCGTGTGATATCTCCATTTCAGTGTCCCTGCATGCAGCTCTTTGCAGACATGTCATGGCCAGATGCCACCCGGAAACAGTGCCAATGTCTCCTTGCAATGAGCCTTTCGGTAGATGTTGGACCCCCTTCGCCTTCGGCTGTGCCTGAAACAGCCAGAACGTAGCAGGGCAGTTTTGTTTTCACAAGTTCGCAGCAAAGGAGATGCGCACGTTGGGACATGACGGACACGCATGTCGAAATTCATAAGGCACCGGGGACAAGTGGGACAAACCATGTCAGCCTCACTTGCCCTGCAAGTTGTGGCGACTTCCATGAGGACGCCTTTGCATTTGGGCGGACCTGCACATTGGTGCCTTTCTCAGCAGCATTTGGCGCAAGACCGGTCGACCTGCGAGGGCAATGGCAAGCTGGTCATGGCTTGGAGCTGGAAGGTGGCAGGCCTATGACGACGCCACCAGCAGGACGCAATCAGGTCGTTGCTTCCCACGGCATCTCATGGCCCACGGCATTCCATTGCATCCCGTGGCATTCCATGGCTCTTTGTCCGCACAGCTCCATGTTCACAAGTCCCTCGCCCGGCTGAGAGGACAATTGAGCAGGCGCACAAGCAGGGCCAAGCAACTGTCCGCATTGCCTTGAAGAACGGCCAGTATGACATTGACCTCAAGAAGATGCAGCAGGCAAGGCCGTCAAAGTGGCTGCACTTGCGCATCCAGTACTCCAAGCACCTTGTTTTTTGCGAAGCTTGGCAAACTCGTCCTCAATTCTGGGTGACAAGGACAACGGCGATTCAAGCACGTAGGTGAGTCCGCGCATACAACAGACCCAATCATGTAACAGATTTGAGCGTTCCTGAATTACGCATGCTCACAAGCCTTCTATCATTACTTCAAGAGGAGAGCACGCACGCAACCGCCGCACCATTAAGCAGTTTATGATTCAGCAAAAGCAATACTCATTGGCCACAAAACCCCGGCGTCAGCACACCGCCTCGCCTCTTGCGCAGGCATGATTGTGCTCTATGCTTGCGGATGCTATCGTATGCTCATGTTGTCATGTTAGGTTGAAGGCGTGATGTGCGTTTTGTTCTATGCTTCTGGCTGCTGGCTTGCAGCTGGCAAAGCTCCATGGCAAGTCGCAACTTCCGCTCCGCAGCACAGGTGCACGCCACACGCCCCAGCAAAACGCAGACGATTCGGCGAGAGGATGGCCAGGCCAGGAGCGTGTTGCGCGCGTGGCAAGAGGCAAGAGGGTTTTGCTGTCACTGAAGGCAAGCTCGACCGCATCGACATGTTCAGCAGCCACATCGGCAAGATCAGTCAGGTCAAGCGGATCGTCCACAGACGAGTTGAGCTTGGCAACTCGGCGTACCGAGCCGCTTGACATGCTGCTGGGCAAGTTGAAGTTTGATCAGTTAACAAATGTGAGAGAACTGATGTTGCCAGATTTGTTTGTCCTTTTCAGAAGTGTGCTTGCCAAACTTTGCCAAAGCTGACTACCTCACTCGTCGCCATGTTGTTCAGGTAATTAGGAGCCTCAGACCAGCCAGGTCTCGCAAATGCAAGTGCTGCATATGCAGATTCCCTGCTGCTCCGTAGCTTCAGAAGACGAGCAGCTCGGCAGCAGGGCGGTTCCTAAGCGTGCTGGAGAGACATGCTGCCAACAACTTCTCACTACCTGTTGCCTGGTTGAATGGAATCTTGCTGAACAGTTCAATCCACGCTCTCCTGTCAGACAAGCCAAGGAAGAGTTCAGTTCAGTTGTGTGGCGCTCAGCTTGCCCATTGGGAGATGTTCATGCATAGTAAAAGGCAAAGTGAAGCACTGTCTTGAAGTCAAGTATGTCAAGTAAGACTTCCGGATATGCTATTGGTTGCAGCGCTTGTGCGTACTGCCGGGCGACTGGAGCGGAAATGTGGCCAATCGAAGTTGAGAAAGTCATGGAGTCATGGCAATATTAACTCAACTCGACCCAATTTGCCTCGCAGCAGGGTTTAGGGCTAATGCCGCTCTGCATTTCCTTGCGCATTGAGGCAGTTCAGCAAGAAGTGGGACACAAGCAGAGAGTCAGAGCCAAGCATCTCAGAGATTTATACAATCCATGCTGCTTGGACAGCACTCGTACTTTGACCTATTGCAGAAATGTGAGGGCATAGGAGCCAAACGGGATTTTTGACATAATGGGGCATGTGCAAGAGGCAGGATCCTCAAGGAGCCCCAGGTGAACTAGGTTCACAAATTCCACGGCTGGTATTTTTGCCATAGATCGCACAGCTAAAATGGCCTTCCAATGCTTGTAGAAACCAGAAGCCTGAGAGTGACTATGGTTTGCTCAAGCAGGCGGCAGCAATCATTCGGGGCATCAAGTTCATTTAATTTCAGGGAAGCAAGCCTGCACACCAGCCTGACTGTGACTCGTCGGCCAAACGTTTGTTTTCAGGGTTCCCCAACTACTTGTTGTTGAGAGCATACTACAAGCATTCTTGTCAATTGGTTGTGCGTGCGCAGTGCGGCGGGAAGGCATCATGTGGCACCTACTTATTGTTTTGTGTCGTGTCAGTTCAGTGAACCTTGGCAATTCAACACCTCAATGGCGACCCTTGCCCAGTCAAAAGCGGGCTCCGTGTCCTGCACGCACAGACATGAGAGCTCCATGGATTTGGCGGTGGGGCTTAAGCTTGCTATTTGAGAGACACGTGGTCTTCCCAGCTGTGCCACCATCTTGCCACACCATCTTGCCAGTGTCACGTGCACGCTGTTTTGGGGTTGTACCTATGTGCCAGCTGTTGGTAAACTACAGATGCCTGTATTTGGCTGTGACCGCCCAACATTTGCAGAGATTGATTTCAGCGTCTAACTAGCATAGCGGGCATCATCTACGCAATCGCAAGCACGGTACTCCCATCAAGTTTCCTACGATTAGATGGCCACCACCCCAGGCGACAAATGTGATTTACAAAAGGCGCATCAATTTGTGGGTCTTCAGGAATGAGTACGGGGTCGGGAATCCCTCCTAGATTGACACCTGGGCATTCCAATCGCACCGTACGCAGGCACTATCCACCTGGAGAGCTGCATCGAATGCACCTGTCCAAAATTCGAGCAACGAAGCCTTTGAGGTGCCAGAATTTCCACCATGGTGGCCAAAGTGAAGCTTTCAGGCGATTAGCGTGCTTGGATGTTCTTTGCAGCATTTCCGTGTGCTGGTGAAACCTGCGCCATAAGCCGGATGGGGCGCTTTAGAAGACATGCTTGGGACTTTACTTTGTTGACCTCAGCAAGACTTTGGCAAGACTGGGGGTATCCACTTCACAGCCCTCAGAGACAGAAAAAGGCCTGCTGATTGCAACTTCTTTGCTTTCGTGCAGCAAAGCGCTTCTGCGCCGGCTCATGGCCAGACATGTGGCGTCCCAACTTCATTGCTTATGAGCCACGGTCAATAGTCAATATTCATGGTACTTGTTGGTACAAGGAGAATGACATGGGGCACACTCACCAAATGTCCACTAGTACACGGGGTTTACTCACCAAATTCCCATGTCAATTCGGGGAACCATGAACTTTAGAGCCTCCCTGCCAGGTAAGCAGGTTTCCACATTTTCCACGTTTGCGCGCGGCCTTGAATCCATACAAAACTATCGAAAACACAGTGTTTTTTGTGTGGTTCACCGAAAAACCTGCCAAAAATCAAGGTCGGCCGGGACCGTTGAGGCCTACTAAGCAGGTTTCCATATTTTCCACGTTTGCGCCCGCCAAAAACCTTAAAAACACTGTGTTTTTTACGTTTTCGGCAAGATTGGCCCGACTTAGGGGACAACATCCCCAGCATCCCCCGCATCACCGGCATTATCCCCAGCATCCCCCGCATCACCGGCATGATGCGGATGATGCAGGTGATATGCTCAACAAGTCGTCAAAAATCGCCTGAACAAATGCACACAAATCCTTCGGGCCTTAGCAGTGAAGGCGCAGCCTCCGTTCGACACGGAGTGAACCGGGAGTGAACCGGGGGGGGTCGGCGGCAGGGGGCGCGAGCCTTATAACCTTCGGCTAAGGGAACCGAAGGCCTCCGCAAAAACCACGGGCTCGTGGCGCCCGGATTTACACGCTGACGCGACACAGCCGGCCACCTTTTCCGTCGTATGATGGCGGCTGCTTGGCGGTCATCGATAAGTTGAGTGTTTCCTCCGTATAGCCGGATGGTTGGCCATACTTGCATAGACTTCCATGAAGTCTTCTCCATCTGATGACATACTCGAAAACCCGCCCACAAATTGAGGCCCACTGCCGGGGTACCTATCCCAGAAGATAACTGGTACCTTGTGGTAGTAGAGGTCGTTTATGTGTGGTCCCTGGATCTATTCCGGAGAGAGTCCAATATGCCAATATGGATGATTGGAGGATGGATTGTCCCTGGTGGCTTGTATTGACTGTTATACCTGTAAAGCGGTCTGCAAGCCTTTTCTCAATGTACCATGCGTCGGATGACTGTACAATTGAAATAGAAGGGCCTTGAGCCAAATGTTGCAGGAGATCAAGTGTTCAACAAACCAAACACCCCCCCCCCCGCAATAGTCTGAAACCGTGCCCCTGGGGAGGGGTAAGGGGAGGGGAAACAGGTAAAGAGGTAAGGAGCATTTCTTATGTCCAACACGCCGCCTTGTTGTCGGCGGATTTTGAATTCCAATTAGATTTGTTTTGCATTAATGATATACCTAATCAAAATTTAGAGTCGGATTAATGATAATTGATATTTTTAGTAGATATGCTACAGTAATACCTATTAAATCAAAACAACCACCGGACATTTTAGCAGGTGTAATGGAAGGAGTACAGAAAATGAAAGGAAAACCAGAAATGGTTTATAGTGATGAGGAAGGCAGTTTATATAATAAAACTGTTGAAGATCATTTCAAAAATGAAGGCGTAGAATTATACCGCACAAGAGGACATCCTAATTTTGCAGAACGTTTTATACGCACCTACAAAGATATGTTATATAAAAGGGTTGAAGCAGATGAAAAGAAGGGGAAGGGAAAGAAGGAAAGGACAATATACAATGGATAGATTATAATTTTGAAATATTATTAACTTACAATAATAAAATGGAACATTCAAGCATAGGAATGACACCAGCGGAGGCATTGAAGGAAAAGAACCATTATAAGGCAAAATTTAAAATGACAACAGAAGCAACGAGAACCAGAAAATACCCTGAAATCAACATAGGCGACGAGGTGAAGATTTACAGAAAGAAAGCAATAACAGAAAAAGAAACAGCGAGCCGATGGATGCCTACGAAATATAAGGTTGAACGGATTGAAAAAAGTTAGGTCAAACTTATTTTTATTTGGAACATAACACGCGACCATTTTTAAAGATTTGAAATTTTAAAAGTTTGAAAAAATATAGAAATTTTAGTTTAAATAATTCTTGTAAAAACGGTTATTTAAAGACATATTCTATAATATAAATATATAGATTATATATTATGAACAAGTTTTTACAGCTTAATATCAACGAGTTAAACAAACTTAAACGAAAATCAACACAGAATGCAAATAATGCCACTAAAAAACGGGCTGATGAGACTATTAAACTTTATACCGAAAGGAAATTATCAAATGTAGCAACAGCAAAACATTTAGTCAAAGGTTTAACTTCTACTGACAAAAGGCTGTGTGACAAAGCATTTCAAAAATACAAAGATAATATTAAGAAAATCAAGGATACAAAACCCTTGAATGAAAGAATGCAAGAAGCACGGGCACAGAAGGAAGCAGAAGGCAGGGTATAGAAACCAAGGGGCATAAAGGCGAAAAAACTTATTTCATTCAGTTTATGTTGTATATAGCAGGAACTGAAAGCGAACGTATAAAAGAATCAAAAATTGCATTCAAACACAGAATGAGGATTTTTTATGCAAAAAGATATGATAAATTTCATGCTACAATTCAGGCACAAACGTTTTCAACATATATTATAAGGAAAAGAATATTTAAACGTATAGGCGACCCACATACACAATATAGAAGCGATGGCGATACATTAAATGATGCATTTGAAGATACTTTAAAACTATTGAGGACAGATGCAGATTTTAATGAAGAATATGAAGACATGACAGAGTTTTATGATGTTAAAGAATGTATCAAAATATTATCAGTGATTTAGTAAATAAAAACGGTGAAAATGATATTAACTGAAAATTTAAGGGATGCTTCTAATGTATCAATTAATCATAGGTATATACATACACCCTTAAGAATGGAAGCGGACACGATTGAACAAGGGATGCAAAAGGGAAACCACATTAACAATGAATGTTGGATTCATTTATTAACCGGTTTTATAGTAATACTTTAATGGATGAAAAAGCTAAAAACACACTAACAAGAGATAAAATTTTAAAACTCATAGGGAGGGATAATTTTAGTGAGACAGGAGCATCTATTCAAGACATGGAAGTAGTATTTAAAGAATTTAAAATTCCAGAAAGAGTTTATGATTTTACTAATAGATTAATTCATAAACATGAAAATACATTATGCAGTTGGCATATTAAACCATTATACGCAATGGTTAAACATAAACATGTTTACGCATTAAACCATGATGTGAAAAGTATTCGGCAAAAACACAATGAAACAAATATACCAACAGTGACAGCATCAACTGATTATTACATAAATGAAAGGGAAGAACCACCTACATTTAAAATGATTAAATGTATAGATGAAAGATCAAGCATCGAATGTGGTAAAAATACAAAGGAAATTTATTTAGCGCCAGAAAATAACATATGACCGATTTTTTTTATATAATTGAGAGTGGATATGAACCAAAAATTAAATATCAAGCGGGGATTGTATCAGAAATTAGATTAAAATTAAAGAAAATCATATATGTTATGAAAACTCAAAATTTAGTTCAAACATCAGCACATGGATTCCTAGCAGTAAGTGATGAAACTGTATATAATAATATGAACAAAGCAATGTTTAATTTCAATAAATCATTACTTAATTTTTCTCATAAGTCATTTTACAATGACATTGATATCAAACTTTTAGACGAAGCAAGAATTACAGTTCCATCTGGATTATTGTTTGATAAAATCAGTTTCACATATTGAAATTGATAAGAATAAGGCTTTTACCAAGGCTGTTACACATATTACAGAAATACCTATATTTAATCAGTTTGACATCTGGAAACCTTACGATAATACAGTTGATATTAATGAACTTCATGAATTAACATTATATTATATCGAAATTGAACACGCAGGAAAATTACGGACACAGGCAACTATGGACAAATTGAAGCAACTTATCAAAAGAAGGGAAGAACACGAAAATATGTTAGATTATATGCAATCGCTGTTGAGTGAGGAACAGATGACAAATTATATAATCCAATTCAGGGATACAAATACCCTTGAATTTATGGATTGTAAAAGATTTGAACATTACATAAACACAGTGCTATTTAAAAATCAAATAGGATTGATGTTTAACAAAAAATATAATTTAGTTTATGGTAAGTTTTTAAAAGAGTTTATTAATCAAAACAATATTAAGATATTATATTATAAACAACCTTCATTGATTCATCAGGTTGATTATCAAAGTATTATAAATGAGTTATGGAATGCTAAGGTAAGTGAGGATATAGACGAGGATATATTTATTAAAAAGTTAGTAGCAAATGTTTATTATGGATTATTAGAGAAATGCGGAGCAACAGACCAGAAAAGCATACCATTTAAACATCTTAGTGAAGCATTGAATTATCAAGCACGATATGGAGGCAAATTACATAAACTAACAGATATGAAGACAGAAGAAGAATAAACATACAATATAATTGATGAAACAGAACAGACATGATATTATATTTTGAATTTAAAAGACAAAGCAATATTATAAAATGGGTTTGGATATATTAAAGTTCTATTATCGCGACATCATAATTATGATATGAATCAAGGTTTTTATAAGCTGATACTAAATAATATTAATTTATATAGTGTTAAAACTGATGCATTTGTAATTGATACATGTGATTTAGACGAAGCAAGAGAATATTAGATTTCAATGATAATATAAGTGGATGGAGAATTTCAAAAAATGAAGAAATTGAATTACCT